TATACACCCTAAACCCTAAACCCAAAACCCTACACCCAAAACCCAAAACCCAAAACCCTAAACCCCTAAACCCCTAAACCCCAGACCCTGAGCCCTAAGCCCTAAGCCCCAAACCCTAAACACTAAACCCTAAACCCTACACCCTAAACCCCAACCCTAAACCCTAAACCCTACACGAGCCTCCAGCCGCTCACCCTTGAGAGAGAGCTGGAGCTCTCCGGCGAGCTGCCTGAGCATCACTTCCGCGGGGCCCAATCTATGCTGTGTGGGGTGGAGGGGTTTAGGGTTTGGGGTTTAGGGTTTAGGGTTTAGGGTTTCGAGATGAAGTGCTCCATTTAGCAAAGCCTTGAGCCTGCAGCCTGCACCAGCAACCCACCAAATCCTGACTTCGAAAAGCACTCGCCAAGCCTCGCGCCATAGCAGTGGAATTCTCACGCGAGATCTTCTCATTGTAGCTCTTGATGTCGGAACGCGCAACCCCCTGTTGACGCAGGCCTGAGCTCAGCTCGGAGGACAAGAATCTTATGAGCCCGCTCGCCGCCGCGCTCCGCGATGTCAAAGATGGAACGCATACTACACAAACTCCGTGAAGTGTCTGCGGTCTTGCAGCATGCCCGGCTTTCAGTCCGCGATCTGCACATTCTCAAACCCCGCAGCGACGTAGGCCTCCACCAGGTCGTGCGCGTCATTCGCGGGAATTCAAGTCCCTTCCGCGGTCGAGGGTCTCCGAAGTCGCGCCAGGAGGTGGGTAGCTTGCAGATCTTGTCTATCATAATTCCTTCATTCCGAAGGCCCTACTGTACATTTAGAGCGCATATATATATATATATGTATATATATATATATATATATAAATATGTCTATATGTATACAACAAGAAATATAAATATGTATAAACACACAAATAAATACACAAATATGTTTATATGTATATATATATATACACATACATTTTTGTATAACAGCCTTCGTAAACTTGAAAGGCTCCAGCTTCCCCCCGAGGCACAGGTACTCAACTCCCGACTACGAACCTTGAAATGCCCCACAGCTGGGTGCAGCGAAACTTCGCCTGCTTTCCATGGCTTTCAATCCCGAAAAAACACCCTATATAGGCCCTCCGAACCCTAAGTCCTGAACCCCCGAAGGTTCCACTCGCAACTAGGTTTAGGGTTAGTTAGGGCTTGTGAGGCTTGTAAGCCCTAGAACACCCCAAACCCTACACCCTAAACCATATATTTGTGTGAATGAATATAAATATGAATCTAAATGAATAAAAAAGACATATGTATATATGTATATATATATATACATATACATATATGTATATATACAAATACATAAAAGAATAAATACACATAAATTAATAATTAATTAGATATGAATAAATAGCTATAAATATAAGTATAAAATGAAAATATAAATATAAATATAAATATAAATGTAAATATTACATATATATACATATATATACATATATATATATATATATATATTCATATATTGCGGTGTGAGTCGCGTGGGTCGCAGTGCTTTGGGATTCGGAGGTTTTAGGGTTTAAGCTTTAGGGAGGGTTGTGGGTATAGGGCCCAGGGAATAGCATTTGGGGGTTTAGGGTTTAGGGCAATGCGTCGCAATTAACTTTGGAAGCTTGATGATGTACCCCTTATCTAGCCTATAACCAGATTCAAAACCAAAAAACGGGAAGGGCCATATCAAAGGACCATATCCCTACCGCAATCCCAAAGCCCGTACACCTACTGGTTCTTAGTAGGGAATCAGGGAACCCTATATAAACTCCCTTGCAGGGTGACAGAAAGAAAACCTATTTAAAGAGAGCCTAAAACCTACACCCTAAACCGTAACCCTAAACCCTAAAACCCCCCTCTCTTGCCCCCCCCCCCCCCCCCCGCAAGGTCCAGGCTTGGCGGCTTCGTTCGCCCGGCAGATGTCCTGGCATGCGGGGTAATCAGAGTTACCAAACCTCGCCCCACAGGGCTTGGGGTTTAGGGTTTAGGGTTTAGGGGTTTAGGGTTTAGGGCTTAGGGTTTAGGCTTAGTGCACTGCGTGGTGCTAGGGGCACAAGGAAGCGCAGACTGAATGTCTCACTCTTCAAGTACAAGGCAACGCCATGCCATAGCCTTAAACCCTAAACCCTAAACCCTAAACCCTGAACCCTAAACCCTAAACCCTAAACGGGTTCAGGGTTTGGCGATCTGTTTGGCTGGCTTTGCTGCTTTCGACGGCTTCAGAGATGGTGTGAGATCGCTCGAAAAGCGAGCCGTAGCTGTACTTCGCATAACGCATCCATGGTTCCTGTCCTAACCTTCGCAGCTTCAGCACGGATTCGAGGGTTTCGGGTGCGGGCTTGAGTCTCTCAGGGCCCTGAACCCCTAAACGCTCTGCTGAACCCCGAACCCTACAGCCTGAAGCCCTAAACCCGGGACTCTTGATCTCAGACCTTCCCAACCAACCTTGCACCCCGGCAGTTCCGTAGACCCATAGCCCCTCAACACTAGCCCTTCAACCTTGCAGCCCTAAACCCGTAAACCACCAAAACCCACACCCAAAACCCATCAAACCCAAAATCCAAATAACCTCCAGACAAGGGCAATTCGCGAATGAGTGGATTAGGGCTCTCAGGGTTAAGGGATCCCAAAACCCTAAGCCCTAAACCCGAAATCTTAAACCCTAAGCCCTAAACCCCAAACCCTTAGCCCTAAACCCTAAACATCCCTAAACCCTAGAGCCTTGGAAGCCCTGGCACCCCCCGCCTCAACAGCCTCCGAGAGCTTCCGCTCGAGGGTCACGTCGATTCTGCTGAGGACCTGAGGGTGGGGAGGATGGGTCTTCAGGGTCTTCGAGGTTTAGGGTTTAGGGTTTAGGGTTTAGGGTTCAGGGTTTCGGGTCAAGGGTTTACGGTGATGGGTTTAGGGTTTTAGGGTTTAGGACTGCAGGCCTTTCGGGTTTGAGGGCTTCCCAGGTTGGTTTAGGACTGCTGGGTTGTAGGGTTTAGGGTTTTAGACGATAGGGTTTAGGGTGCAGGGTGTTAGGGTTTTAAGGTGTACGGTTTGAGAGGTTAGGGTTTAGGGTTTAGGGTGTAGGGTTGTTAGGGTTTGTAGGACTGCCGGGTTTTTATGGTTTAGGCGTTAGGGCTGCAGGGTTTTAGGGTTTAGGGTCTCGGGCTGCATGGTTTGAGGTTTTAGGGCTTTCGGACTGCAGGGTTTCAAAGGTTCGGGTTTAGGATTTAGGCCTGTAGGAAGCTTTGGGAAAGTGGGGAGGGAGAGGGAGGGGGGGGGGGGGTTGTACCCGAAACCCTCCCGAAACACTGAGCCCTTCAGTTGATGCGCCCAGACCCATTGCGACGTTGAGTTTAGGCTGAGGCCCTAAACCCTATAAACCCTAAACCCTACAACCTAAACCCTGGTTTAGAAGGCATGAAAGTGCCAGACCTACACCCCAAACCTCCAAATCGTACGCCCCCAAACCTGAACCGCATACACCCCAAAATAATGTTTTAGGATTTTTGGGGTGCGGGCTTTCAGGGTTACCTATACCCACATCCCAAAAAACCAAGAACAAATGCCTCAACCCGAAACCGAAACCCAAAAATTTGCCGAGGCAGATGCTCGCTCGGCGTTTGCCTGGCAAGGAAGGACCCTTGTGTAGAGGAGCCGAACCTAAACCCTAAACCAAAACTCCCAAAACTCAGGGTTTGGGGTGTCAGGGTTCGCCGAAATCTAAGCCCAAACCTCTCAGCCTCAGTCCACAAGATCGCAGATACTGGGGAGGCCCAGTTTAAGCAGGGGTATTTTGGGTAGTTCAGTGCACTTTCGGGCAAAGGAGCCATGGACCTCCAGGGGTATATTGGGGAACTAAACCCTAAACCCTGAACCCTATAGTCCTAACCCTAAACCCTAAACCCTAAACCCTAAACCCTAAACCCTAAACCCTAAACCCTAAACCCTAAACCCTAAACCCCAAAACCTGAACCCTAAACCCTGTGCTTAGACCCCAAGACTCTTCATCGGAGCTCTGGGGCCTGGAACTCCTTGGCTTGAGCCTGTAGGCCGTCGCTGACGCGATCCGCCACCTCGTTTGGACCCTAAACCCTAAACCCTAAACCCTTAAAGACTAGGTTTAGGGTGTAGTATGGGCTTGGGGTGTAGCAGGATTAGGGCTTAGGGTTTAGGCTTCAGGGTTGAGGGTTCAGGGTTTAGGGCAACTAAATAAAGACTAGGCAGCCCAGTAGCCTTTGGGTCTCTCTATTCTTGTGTACCCGTTGGGTTTCGGGTTTCGTGTTTCGGGTTTCGGGTTTAGGGTTTCGGGTTTAGGGTTTAGGGTTTAGGGTTTAGGGTAGGTGAATCCCCTAAGCCGCCTTCTCCACGCGACGGGCTCCCTCAACCTGGAGCCCTGCAAGTCGGCAAGCCCAATTCTCCCGTCATCTTCGGTGCTTCGGTGCAGAATGCTGTTGCAGCTCCTGACGCCCTGAACCCGAAACCCAAAACTCTAAACCCTAAACCCTAGCCCTAAACCCTAAACCCCATTGGGGGAAGTCCAGTAAGTCCCTATAAATTCCAGCTGCAACCCTGTGAACCCTGAGCTGACTCTTGGATTGAAGGGCAGAGAATTTAGGGTTTAGGGTTTAGGGATCCTCAGCCCAAACCCGAAACCCTGACCCCCAGAAAGCCACAAACTTAGATTTCATCGGGCTTTTCAGATATGTTCCCTAAACCCTAAACCCTAAACCCTAAACCCTAAACCCTAAACCCTAAAGCTCAAGTCCTTGCGGTCTTTGCGGACGCATACGATCTCACCATGACGTGATCGTGGTCACACGTGAACATGTGAGCTTGCCAGCGATGTCTGCAGAGGCCTCCATTGTCCGCATTCTTTGGGGACCAGATTAACCCTAAACATGGTGTCATTTAATTACCCCATTCTGATACTCATGTGATCCCTACGAAGGCTGAGATGGACCATAAACGCTTTTCAGGGTTCATCTAGTCCCCAAGGTTTGACAGCAGGCGCACGATCTCATCCAGTCCCGCAAAAGATGCATAAACCAGAGCGGTATGCCCCCAACTGTCCGACAAGACCTTGTCAGCTCCTGCATGGACCAGGAAACGTGCAATCTCAACGTGGCCATGGTCACATGCACACATGAGAGCCGTCTTTCCATCAATGTCTGGTAGGTCCTTATCAGCACCTGCTTCCAGCAGCAAGCGTACGATCTGCAAGTCGCCCTTTTCAGCTGCGCAGATAAGAGCCGTTCTGCAGTAGTCGTTTGCAGTATAGTCCGTTGCAGCACCAGCTTCCACCAGCAAGCGCGCAATCTCCACATGCTGATTTTCACAAGCATAGATGAGGGCTGTCTTGCCATCCATGTCTGCTAAGTTCTTGTCAGCACCAGCTTCCACCAGGAAGCGCGCAGTCTCAACGTACCCAGCATGAGACGCGTGAATGAGGGCCGTCCTCGAGCAGTCATCAGCCAAGTCCTTTGCAACACTTGCTTCTACCAGCTGGCGCACAACCTCAATGTGGCCATTCTCAGATGCGCAAATGAGAGCAGTCTTTCCATCGATGTCTTGCAGGTCCTTGTCAGCACCAGCTTCCAGCAATAAGCATACAATTTCAACGAGGCCTTTTTCAGATGCGAAAAGCAGGGCTGTCTTGCAACCAATGTCTGCCAGCTCAGTGTCGGCGCCGGCTTTCAACAACACGCGCGCAACTTCCGCCTGGCCGGCGAAAGAGGCATACGCTAGGGCTGAGTGTCCCCAACCGTCCAACAAGTCCTTGTTAGCGCCAGCGTCTAAGAGCAAGCGAACGACGTCAACATGCCCATTTTCACATGCGCACATGAGAGCCGTCTTGCTGTCAAAGTCTGGCAAGTCCATGTCAGCACCAGCTGCGACCAACAAGCGCACGATGTCGACGTGGCCCATGTCAGACGCGCAAGCGAGAGCTCTCTTGCCATCACCGTCGGTCAACACCCTGTCCGCGCAGACTTTGACAATCAAGCGGACAACGTCAACCTTGGGGACGAAATGAGCCCTAAAAAGGGTTTAGGGTTCATATACCTGAATAGGAGCTATAGTACTCAGGGTATATAAAACCCTAAACCCTAAACCCTAAACCCTAAACCCTAAACCCTAAACCCTAAACCCTAAACCCTAAACCCTAAACTGACCCCCAATTTTAGGGTTCATTTCGTCCCCAAGGAACAAGGCCGTTCGAGACTGCGAAGATGAACTCCTTTGTGACCTGTCCTCAGTTCTCCAGCAACCTGGGGGGTTTAGGGTTTAGGGTTTAGGGTTTAGGGTTTAGGGTTTAGGGTTTAGGGTTTAGGGTTTAGGGTTTAGGGGAACTAGAGGTTAACCCTTGGGATTATAAAGGGGATTCGATTACCCCAAAAAGGCTAAAGGTTACCTACTCTACTACTAGGTGTCTCTGTGTGGGAGAGGGCTTCAGAAGCAGCTGGAGCTCGAGCGGCACCTGCAGCAAGGCAGAATCCTCCAAGATCCTTGGTAGCCCAGGAACCATATTCTGACAAGGCTACCCTTTTTTGGGGGCTAGCTACTTTTATAAGGGAACCTTGAACCCCCCCCCAAAAAAAAAGGGGAAAAAGGGGCACCACTGGGCTACCAGTTGGCTACTTTATAAGGGAACCTTGAACCCCCCCCCCCCCCAAAAAACAAAAAAAAAGAAAAAGGGGCTACCAAGAAGCATGCTGCCATGTAGGAGCTCCTGCATGCAGACAGGAAAGCCATGCGACGTGCGCAGGTCGAGCTTCAGGGCAGCGACGTCACTCAAGAGCTCCGTGCTGAAGGAAGCCACTTCTTCGCCAGAGATGCCCCAAACGCGGAGCATCTTTGAAATTTCACAACCCTAAACCCTAAACCCTAAACCCTAAACCCTAAACCCTAAACCCTAAACCCTAAACCCTAAACTCGCAAGCAATGGGGCGAGCTGCCCTTGTAAAGGGAGTCATCACAAACATAGGGACCTTAACGGCTCAATCCTACACGAGCTTTAGGGTTTAGGATTGCGTGCTTTGTAGGGTTTAGGGTTTAGGGTTTAGGGTTTAGGGTTTAGGGTTTAGGGTTTAGGCTTGTTTTAGCAAAAACCTTTGTGGTGGCGTGGAAACTCAACCCCTGGTAGAGCTGCAGAGAATCTTCTAAGTCTGAGGGCTACGATGCCGTACCTTGAGCCATAAAGCCATAGACCCTAAGCCCTAACCCAGCAACCATTTGCAACCTTTCAATACTGACATCTGAATGGAAAACTAATCCCTAAAGCTTCACAACCGCTCTGAGCTGGAGATTCCTGCGAGGGCTCGCAACCCCTATATTGTAAACCCTTTAAACCCTATAAATCCTATAAAGCCTGTAAACTCTATAAACCCTGAAAACTACAAACCCTATACACCCTATAAACCACCTCAACCTAGGAAACCATACAACCTACAGTAAACCCTCAAAAAACCCTGAAAACCTAACACCCTAGAACCCGAAAACCCTCAAATCCCTGAGCCTTTAAACCGATTGAGGGTTTAGGGGCTTAGGGCTTAGGATGTAGAGTTTTAGAATTTAGGGTGTACCTGCAACCGCAAACCTGATCCCATTCTGGGACCCAGGAGCCCTGGAACCGAGGGGGCATCGAGAATCGAGAACCCTAAGCCCGCTCAAACCTGAACCCAAACCCCGCCAACCCCTAATCCCCACTAAGCCTTGAACCCTCGACCCCAAACCAACAAAAAAAGCATAAAACTGAGGATTCTACAAACGTTTGTAATCCGGAATCCCCCTTATAGGGACCCTTATGCCCCAATAGTCGGATGCTTAGGTTGGTGTTGTTTTTGGGCCTCGAATGAACCTAGACCCTAAACCCTAAACCCTCCTGAACGTCAAACCCTAAACCCTAAATCCTAATAAAGCCTCAAGCCTAAAACCAAACCTTGAGCCATAGGCCTGAAGGCTTACAAAGCTGTCTGCCTGCTCCAGTCGAGCTCGTGCCCTTTCCACCAGCTCCCCCACACTCCTAAGTGGCTCGGAAGGTTTCAAGCTTACGGTGTGGGTTTAAGGTTTAGGGTTTAGGGTTTAGGGTTTAGGGTTTAGGGCTCAGGGTTTAAGGCTCAGGGTTTAGGGCTTCGGCTTGCTGGTTGCAGGGCTTAAGAGTTTAGGGCTCCCAAAAAGCTCAGGGTTCTTAAGCCCTATAGAAACCCCTGTAAATTCCATGAACCCTACAAAACTCTGTAAACCCTTAAAACCCTCTAAACCTACACACCCCTAAACCGGCAAAGCCTTCAAGCCCTGTCAACCACTTTAAGGCCTAAAAACCCCTGCAAACCCTTGAGACCCTGCCCCTGTCATATGAGGCTAACCTCCCCGTAGGACCTTGCTAACTTGGGAGGCACCCCCGTATACTAACAGTCCTTAAACGGGGTTATACTAGGCACTATAGCCCCGATTAAGGAATGTTATTATAAGGGGGGCAATCCCAATTAATAAACCTAAACCCTAAATCCTAAACCCTAAGCCCGAGTTTATACGAAAAAACAAATCTCTTTATTCAGAAGGGGGCTGTAGAAGCCATGTAATTCCTCTTAGACGTTGTAAGCCCGGGCCACGAAAATGTCAACTCCAAGAGACCTGCACGGCCCTGATTCCTAAACCCGGGTTTAGGGCTGGGATTAGGGTTTGGGCTTTGGGGATTTAGGGTTTAGGGTATAGGATTTAGGGTTTAGGGTTAGGGGGGTTAGCAATTTCGGGGCCCAGAGTTTAGGGTTGAGGGGTTTAGCAAGGTTTAGGGATTTTTAGGGATAAGCGCCCTAGGTCCCAAGGGCCCTGACCCGTAAACCCCGAACTCCCTCTACGCGACACCCGAAACCCGAAACCCGAAACCCGAAAAGCGAAACCCGAAACCCGAAACCCTATAAACCTATAACCCTAAACCCTGGACCCTAAACCCTAACCCCTAAACCCTATAAACCCTAAACCCTAAACCCCAAACCCTAAACCCTAAAGCCTAAACCCTAAACCCTAAACCCTAAACCCTAAACCCTAAACCCTAAACCCTAAACCCTAAACCCTAGCGCAGCTAGAGCACTCCCCTAGCCGCTGCTGGAGGCTGCCTTCCACCGCCCGCTCCTGAAGCGCATGGGCGGTGAGGATTGAGGTTTAGGGACTGCAGGCGTTTACCTTAAACCCTAAACCCTAGCCCTAAACCCTAAACCCTAAACCCTAAATCCTAAATCTTGAAATCTGAACCCTCAAACCCTAAACGGAGAGATGGCGCATAAGCGCATAAGTGGCGCGGCTCGCAGCTCAGGGTTTAGGGTTTAGGGTTTAGGGTTTAGGGTTTAGGGTTCAGGGTTTAGGGTGTAGGGTTTTAGGGTTTAGGGTTTGCGGGTTCAGGGGTTCAGGGGTTCAGGGGTTCAGGGGTTCAGGGGTTCAGGGGTTTCTAGGCTTAGGGGTTTTGGGGTTTTTGGGGTTCAGGGGTTTAGGGCTTGGGCTTAGGGTTTACAGGCCCCACTGTTTGGGGGTTAAAGTTGCCCCGTCTTTATGGTGTGTGCCCACTCCCCGCTTCAACCCTAAACCCTGAACCCCAGGCCAATACATCCTAAGAACGTAAACCCTAAACCCTAAACCCTAAACCCTAACCCCTAAACCCTAAACCCTAAACCCTAAACCCTAAACCCTAAACCCCCCCCTCGCTACCCCCATAGGATGCCCTGTGTGCTCCTGTGCGCGGAGGGTGGCGTGCACGGTCATCTCAATCGTCTGCTCCACCTTCGCAGCGCTCCTGTGAAGGGATACGCTTTTTGTGGGTTTTGAGACATGTGGGGTTTAGGGTTTAGGGTTTAGGGTTTAGGGTTTAGGGTTTAGGGTTTAGGGTTTAGGGTTTAGGGTTTAGGGCTTAGGGCTTAGGGCTTAGGGTTTAGGCTTAGGGTTTAGGGTTTAGGGTTTAGGGTTTAGGGTTTAGGGTTTAGGGTTTAGGGTTTAGGCTTAGGGCTTAGGGCTTAGGGTTTAGGGTTTAGGCTTTAGGCTTTAGGCTTTAGGGCTTTAGGGCTTTAGGGCTTTAGGGCTTTAGGGCTTTAGGGCTTTAGGGCTTTAGGGCTTTAGGGCTTTAGGGCTTTAGGGCTTTCGGGCTTTAGGGCTTTAGGGCTTTAGGGCTTTAGGGCTTTAGGGCTTTAGGGCTTTAGGGCTTTAGGGCTTTAGGGCTTTAGGGCTTTAGGGCTTTAGGGCTTTAGGGTTTGGGGCTTTAGGACAGACGGCTTAGAGCCTCCGGCTTCAGGGTGCTCGGAGTCGTTGAAATAGACCGGGCAACCCACATGTTTGGGGGTTTGAGTCTCCTAAACCCCAAAAACCCTATAAACCCTATAAAACCTATAAACCCTGTAAACCCTATAAACCCTATAAACCCTGTAAACCCCAAAAAGCCCTATAAACCCTATAAGCCCTCTAAACCCTGAAAACCCGAAAAAAAACCCTAAAAACCCCCCAAAAAAAACCCTAAACCCTGGAAGAGTCAAGCCGCTCATCGCAGAGTGTTCGCATTATGTCGGACTGGATCTCGTTCTGCCGCTGGAGCGCAACAAGAGCATCCTGGAACTCTATAGGCTTCGAGGGTTGAGGGCATAGCAGGTTTAGGGTTTAGGGTTTAGGGTTTAGGGTTTAGGGTTTAGGGTTTAGGGTTAGGGGTCTAGGGTTTAGGGTTTAGGGTTCAGGGTCTAGGGTTTTGGGTTCAGGGTTTTAGGGCTCAGGGTTCTAGGCTTAGGGTTTGGGCTAAGCGCTGAGTAAGGCTTCTCAGGGGGTTTAGGGTTGAGGGTTTAGGGTTTAGGGCTTAGGGCTTAGGGTTTAGGGTTTAGGGTTTAGGCGCCGAACCCTAAACTCGAAAACATAAACCCTAAGCCGGATTCAGCCTCCGTTGATGTCTATTGCTACATAGGGTTTCAAAGCGCTGTTGCTTTCCAACTTGTGAAGCTGCGGGTTTTACGGAAAGTAGCAGGTGGTCCGTGCATGTTTTAAACAGGTCGAAAAACCCTGAAACCAAGGGTTTAGAATTTAGGGTTTAATGACTCCCTAAGAGCTCCCAGGGGGATTTTCCAAAGACCTCCCCAAGCCCAGTGGGATTCCCCCCAAACACGTCCCGTGCCTCCAGACGGTTCATGCGGTCTTCATGCATCCTTGGGATGCGGTTTAGGGTTTCATTTTAAGGGCTAGGGTTTAGGGTTTAGGGTTTAGGGTTAGATTTGAGGGGTTCAGGGTTCTTGGGGTTCTGGGCTCAAGGTTAAGGGGGGTTAGGGGTGTAGCTAGGGGTTTAGGGGCTTAGGGTTTATAGGGCTTCGGGGCTCAGAGGGGTGTAGAATTTAGGGTTGAGGGGCTCAAAACACTTGAGTCACAAACTTTGGTCTGGGCTGTGAAGGCGGGTGCTCCCCTTCTTACGTGCGAACGTTAGAGCTGTCCTGCCGTCACCCATTGTCAAGCTTTTTCAGCACCAGCTAGCTCTCATGTTTGCATGTCGCAAGAACCTTTTGCACATCACGTGCTTGCAGCTGGAAGCTGGTGAGACATGTACTTGACAAACGATGCACGCAGGACATATCTTTGGCTCGCATGCGCGTGGAGTTGGTGGTGTCCAGCCTTTAAAAAACCTTTACTGCTTGTCAAAGTCCTTGACCTCACCGCACCAGCCATCGTGCAATCTCCAAGTGCCCGTTCTCACGTGCGAACGTCAGAGCTGTCCTGCCT